GAGCTTTAATTGGGCCTGAAACCTTTGTCCGAAACTGAACACAGCCTGAGAATTTTCTGTCCAAACCTGGTACAAACCGCCGTACAGCATCGTGTCTCACCTAAGCCAAGCCTGACAAAATTCTGTCTGGGCCCCACCAAACCACATCACCAAGTTTTGAGTCCAAAGTCAACCTGGGTACCACAAAATTCTGTCCAAAACTGACCTGAATCAGCCCATCATCACCCAGAGTGTCAAAACATGAGAGGATAGTGTTGGTTATCGTGTAATGAACAAAATAGCTTTCATGAGATTACAGAAAATTAAAATATAAAACATAAAATATACTATTAAAACAGCTGTCCAAAATTATGTTTAAGTGCACTGCAACTCATTCTTAATCAAACAGTGCATCTCAAAGACTTTAGTCTGGAAAAACTTTAGATAATGTTTTGTGTGCTGCTGATGTAGTGAGAGAGCCTTCACCTGTTTAATCCTAAAACTAGATTTCTTCACATATAACAGATTACGTATTACGTATAACATCTAAAAGTACCTTTGGCTGAACAAATTGTCCTTTTTTTGCTGCCCTAAACTGTACTTTACTGAATCAATTAACTGTTTATTTCCCATTTTTTTATGAGTGTAGGCCTTGTGGACCTTGGTGTTAAATACTGTTAACAGCGTGTATAAGTGACTCCTTGAAAGTATGGTACAGTAATGAAAGTACTTAAGAAGAATAAAGTAAGAAAATCTAAAGGAGGTGAAATCTAAAACTAAAGGCTTTGAATGTGGGTTTTGAACCTGAGCTTTGGAAAACGTCCAAACTCCAAGCTCTATTCTGTTCTAAAATAAACTGAAGATGTGCTTGGATACCAGAGTTCAGTGTTGCTAGGTGGAATGCAGAAGATACTTTCTTGCTCCTTCTTTTCTCCCTGACCCTTGACTCCAGCCTCAGCCCTGTGATCTCTGGCTACTTGTTAGGCTCCTCGGGGCTTTCCTGTTCTTCTTAACTGCCTGGAATTCAGCCTTGATCTCTAATGTTCAACTGGGACCAGCTTTAATCACGAAACATTATTCTGGTGAGGGGCATTTTCTAACCGATGTGAAAGGTTTAGAAACAGTTTTCTTGTCAATGTAAACATCTTGTGGTGGCTTGAAGCAAATATTGGACAGTATCTTAATGCATTGAGAGGAGAGTTTGTTTTCGGGTTAATTTTGTACCTTATCTGTTAAACCATTATTCCATATCTTAATGTCTCGCATAATGAGAGACAAAGTTGATTAAGATCTGTGTTTCAGTGAAGTGTAAGTGTTTTATCACTGTGAATAAACCTTTATTGATCTGCCCTGATCGTGTCAGCAGCTGAACCTGTCGGCACACTGCCCATGTGCTGATGAGCGGGGGCAAAGTCTCGGCCTTTTGACTGCCCCCAGAATGCTTTCAATGTGTTTACATGCATTCCCATTGCTCATGGCTGCTTTACAGGACTGCATAATCCTGGCCTTGAGCTGACTGAATTCATACAGTGGGCCTTTAGATCTGGTTAGCATTTAATGATTGACTTTGCACTGCCCAAGGTGCCTCTCAGGTAATTGCTTCCATCTTAAGCACCACTTTGCTTTTGCACATTTTCGGAGGGAGCCTCAAAGGAGAAAACCAGTTGTACACTAAACCGTTGCTTTGTCTCTGCTGTAGTGCTAAAAAGCCCCCTATGTCATGACTGCTTCAAAAGCCTGACAAGTTAACTGTGGTTGATGTTTACATGGTGCTTACTGGACCAATGTCTTCAGACAGTGTCGTAGTCCTTTCAGCGCAGTTACTTCTGTGAAACATTGTTACTTCCGTGACACGTTTACTGGTTTAAGGGTGAAATGTGACCTTCATTGCGGTTGGAGGCTACAGTTTGGCTGTTCACATGATGCTCATTAGAGCGCTAACGTGGAGAATAATCTGTTAAAGATGTCTTTACTTGTCTTTGCTGGGAATGGGCCTGCTCCTGACCTAAAAGAGAGAGAGAGAGAGATGGGAAGCTAAAAGACGTAGAGCAGGCCAAGCATGCAGCCTGTGAGACGTGGCTGTTTTCCACAGCCTCTTTCTCTCCCTCCTGTTGTGGCCCATTCTGGAAACTAAATCGAAAGGTAGCCCCGATGGCTTTCTCTCTGTCTGTCTGTCTATTTGTCTGTCTGTCTCTCACTCACTTGCCGACTGTTTTTTTTTGTTCTCTGTCTCACTCTCACTCTCTCTCTTTCTCTCTTTCTCCCTCTCCCTCCCCTCTTTACTACATGCTAACTACAGCAAGGCCCCCTCAAGGCTCTTCATTGGCCTATCTCCAGACAGTCGCTAAGTAAATCACTTTGTTGAAGGGAGGGTTTGTCATTAAAATTCCAGACAATCCACAGAGTTACATGTCGCTTTTCCATCTTCGACTCATGCATATCTTGGAGCCCTGTCCCTTGAGGTAGGGACAGGAGAGTAGTAATGGGGGTTTGGGAAAAGCTGGGGGTGCTGTTCCATATCTTTTGCTTTTTCTTTTTCTTTTTTTCTTCCAGCAGTGTCTGTTAGCCATGTGTTCTCGCTCTGTTAGAAATATGAATAGTCACAAGCTCTCCAGCTTTTTTCTAAAACCCCGGTATGGGCCTGTGCCACATTTAACCTCTTTTAACTGCTGATTTGCCCAGACTTTCTCATTATAGCAAAAATAATTACCGGTGAGGCTAATTCAGGTTCATTCAAGCGTGGAGTAATTGCGCCGTTAAAAAGGGGCCTAAATATAGGCCCTGAGTGTTACTCTTTGTTTGCAACTTTTAGCCATTTGATGACTGTCTTAATACTCTCCTGCTTGCTAAAGAAGGCTCATGTGGGAGTATTTAGTCATTGGGACAGTACTAAGGACTGTGCTGCAGTCTGCTTGACCTATTTCTCTCTCACCCTCAGGTGGTTATGGCCCCTCATGAGCCACCAGTGGTCTTTGTGGATAACTACATCAAGCTCCTCGCTGATGGCAACCCGGAGACCTTCCAGAAGATTCTAGATATGAAGGTAAGCCCTTTCAGAAGACAATTCTTAACTGTGCATTTCTGTTCATTTCTTTGACATGGATTTAGCCTAGGCTTCTGCTGCATTGCAATACCCAATGGTTTTTCACCATTTTAAAGGCCTTTCTAGTCAGTGCCTAAGCTTAATCTAGGTCCAGTAAACTGGCCAGTTATGTTTTAAAGTTAATCAAAGGTTCATATTTATAAATCATACGTTGGCAGGTATCTATGTACTCTGTAATTTACTGTGCCTGTCACAGAGCATCTGTTAGTCTATCCTTAAAACAGCAACCTGCAAGTTTCTACATTGAGAGTTAGTTGAGTCCTGAATGAGTTGTACTCAGGGTCTGAGGAATTGACCCACAGGGAACAGTACACATGTGCGGTAATCTTTGTTATGTCCTCTCACATTTCAGTTGTTTGTGTATGTGTCTCTCTGTACATCCTCAGGGACTGAAGCGCAGCGAACAGAACAGTATGCTGGAGCTCTTCAGGCAGAGGTTACCCACGCCTCCTTCTGGGCCAGACGGAGGACCTGCTCTGTCCTTCAGTGCCCCCACCCCTGAGCAGGAGTCCTCACGCATCCGCAAGCTGGAGAAGCTCATCAAAAAAAGAATTCAGTGACCTCAGTATGGACCTTTTTGCTGACAACATATTATGCAGGACTTGTGCTTTGGCTCTCGTGTAATGTCTCCACTTGTAACGCATGGAGAGACCAAGGTGGGATTAGAGACACGTATGTAAAACCTGCTAAATGAGATCATGCCCATACTAACAGGAATCAGTCGTCTCGTATCGAAAACGTCAAAAAATAATGAAGTTTTCCTTCCATGAATGAATGTGAACCTCATGATTTGAAAGTTGTTTGATTGTGATGAGATTTCCATAACTGTAACACATTTCTGGATCTCTGGCATGAATGAGTCATTTACCCCTGTGTATTTTTTTTTTTTAAGCTTTCCTTTTTGTAACACTAATTCCCACAGGCTTCCCATAGTGGCTCAACGCATGTCATTTGCTTTGCACATTTCTCTGAAATATGTTTGCACTTAACACAAAATGGATGGCAGAATGATTCAGAGAAGTGGCCTGCTGCTACTTTGGCACAGATTCTTCCGGCTTGGGAGTCTGAACATGAAAATGATTTATAGGCAGCTTTTTCTCTGAATGTCCCCCTCACCATTACAGTAAATGGTCGTTGGAGTTCTAGGACGAGTATTTGTGAGGGAGACGCAGTGAGTAAGTGGGCTGAGGCTGTAAAACTCAGTCTCCAGGTTCAGCAGTGTAGCCCTAGGCACTCTGTGCCACAGAGGAACTTAGGGATTCCTGTCTCCAAATCGGACACAAACAAGTTGCCTTGTTTTTGTTTCTTTTTTTTTTATAATATCTATATAAAATCTTAGAATGGATAAAAATTGTCCACTTTTAAATGTTTTAAGACATGATAGTTTAACCAGATCCTGAGAACACTGTCCACACTGTAATGTCTTAAAGGGCCTTATTAGGGCCTCCCGGGGTGAGTTATACATACAGCTGATATCAGTTTTGATGTTTGTCTAAAAGAGAGAGATACATGGGTGCAACCTCATGTATTGTTTCTCTCCTCTGTCTATACATGCTGTGCTATTGATGCATAAAAAGTTTGTATGTTGATGTTTATGGGATGTGTGAGGTGCTTCATTATGGGGGGTGGTGTAGTGTGGGGCTTTGGTCATCTCTAGAAGTTCTGCTCGTTGATTATTTCAGTGTTGATGTACATATTCCTGCTTACTGTTAATAGAAATGCAACTTTTATACTACAGCTATTGCTTCTAATATAAATTGTGCAGTTCTGTCAATAAAAAGCTGAGCAAAAACGTGCAGCATTGGAAAAAAGAGAATAGTAAACTGTCTGTAAATGAGTATTTATTCTCTCGAGGGGGAGGGATTAGTTCTCATGGCCCAGATATTTTTTCCCCTGAATCTCACTCCAATCAACAGTGGGGAGGCTCTTATAAAGGCGGGTCCTTTTCTGGTGCTGCCTGCTTGTAAAACAATGAGGAGCTTTGAGGTGGGACGGTTTTAAATGCAGTGAGTGTGGCAGTGCTTCATGTGGTGGTGCTCCACTGCCTCACTGAAGTTGGTGAAGCGAGAAGCAAAAGGAGCTTCAGCGCTTTAATACTGTTTTAAAGTCCTTCAGCAGGAAACCGGTCAGCGTTTCTATACCTTTTAGTTGGTCTGGGGAAAAAGGACCGTAAGAGGCAGCCAGGCAGTCAGGCCGAACGGATTCAGTAAACGGTCCTGAAGCTAAACTCGCCCTCTTAGCTCCTGTCAGTGTTTGAGGGGCTGATCTCGGCTACTGACGGACTGTGAGACTTTCATAAAGCGCCTCTAAGGCTTCACGGTTCCTCTCGGGTTTGAGCTCTGCTGGAGCTAGAGCTGAGGGGCAATGGTTGGAAGACTGAATCTGCGCAATGTGTCTGACGACGATCTGCTGGATATGAATTTTAAAGCGGAGCGCGCTCTGGACAGTCCGGACTCCGGTCTGCCGCCCAGCCCCAGCCCCAGCCCCAACCCCTGGCTCCTGGCGGCGGGCAGCGAGAGGAGCAGCGGGGGCTCAGAGGACGAGGGGAGAGTGAGTAACGCAGAGAGTTGAGAGAAAGTCTGTAGCTGAAACTGCAGCCTGTCCTCACTGTGGCCGGTCAATAAGCGTATTATTACTTTCTAACCTCTGACTGATATCGTTAGAGCTTAAATAACGTCCACAGTGGATTTAGGTGTTCTGGCCCATCAGGTGCTACTGGACACTCCGACTATTCATGCATGTCGCATACACGTGTATTTAAAAGCCCATGGTAAACGAAATTTTCTTAGCTTTTTGAAATAAGAGTTCATTTAAGCTCTCCATGCGGAAAACGTAGAAACCATTGTGTTTCCGTTGGTTCCGTTTTGTAATGTGTATTGACTTTTTTTTTTCTAATGGGTTGATATCACAGTGTAAAGGATCCTAATGGTTCAACAGGTGACCATAGGTTGATTCTGCATGCATTTGATGGTTTCATAATGGGATCTGAAGTTATTCTCAGGAAACTAGTGGTCTCCATTGGAAATCATTCAGCCAATTCCCATTAGAAAGCAAAACCATTAGGTTTATATCTAATAATTTCTAATGGTCCTTTTTCAGCAGGGCTGTTAATATCATTTCACTTTCCAGTCTGCGTCTGAAAAATCAGCCCGTTTTGAATTCAGTGTTTTTGTGATGTCATGAAAATCAGCGTGTTTACATATACCCACCTTTAGCCCCGCCCTCTCACACTGAAGCTATAAAGGGTGTTTCAGGACTGTCTTTTGAATACAAAACGATGAGGACATTTGCATAGCAGTCTTAGAAATTGGCTGTTTTAATTCTCAGGGATAAAGAGAGGTTGGAAAATGCTCATGTAAAAATGAATGATGACCATTTGTGGTGCTCAAAACTACACAAATGTGATAAATGGATCTCAGGGAAATGTACAGAAAACAAGGAAAATTTAGGACATGGACCCTTAAAGGGTTAAGAAACTTGTATATTCTCATTTCAGCTTATGCTTAGATTTCTAGTGGATTATTTCAGAATGAACAAAATACTGAAAATCACCACAGTAATATTTAGTCTGATCTTGAATAAAAGAATGCCTTCATCATTCAGGGCCTATGACGTGACTCATATTACCTGATGGCCCATAACACCTGAATACACCCTCTGTTTATGCCTAGCTGTAGCCAGCTGGTAATAAACTGGCAAACCTGTCTGCTGAATTGGATTACTTTACTGCTACGTCTGCTAGCCGGCAAACAAATGCTGAACTTTAAACTTTTTATTCCAGGTTCCTCCTAAGCAGGTTAAAGGTCTGCACCCGTTCTCCTATGGAGAGGGAATTGAACTCGATCCTCTACCCCTAAAAGAATTAAGGTGATGTTCGTTCACGTTTATCTCTGTAAATTCATTTCTTTCGGTGCTTTTCCCATCTCTTCTGTTTGTATGCAGTGTGTACTCAGGTAAACACTGCTAAACTGTGACGCTGTTGCCTGTTGTTGCAGATACACCTCATCTGTGCGCTATGACTCGGAGCGGCACTTCATCCAGGACGTGTCTCTACAGCCGACGGGTTTGGGTCTGGAGCTGTGCAGCCAGACTGTGTTGGCCCTGTCTCAGAGCACCTGGAGGCGATACAAAACACAGCTGGAGTTCCAGCCCCGCCAGCGGGTGCAGCGCTACCAGAGCACCACTATTGTGTACCCCAAACACGCCCGGACCCTCTACACCACTCAGCTCAGCTATGACAGCCGGAACCTGGCCAAGCGCTTTCTGTCCAGTGTGGAGCTGGAGGCGTCTGACTGTAGGGCCAATCAGTATTGAAGGATGGGCTTTTCAGAGATTCCCTAACAGAGTATACCTAGCCTCACCCCTTTAAGGACCATTGCCCACAGTGAAATTGTTCAAATCTGGATCGATATGAGTGGAATTCCTAAGACTGTCTATGTTAATCCTTTTTTTGCATGATTGTTTTTAGCTGGGATTGTTACTGCTCTGCTTTAGAGATTAGCTTTGGCAAGTGTCTGGAGGTTTGAATGGTTCGTAATGTTACTGTAGTACAAATGGATCACATTTTAGAAGTAACATCTGCAGCTTCCCCAGTGACCCAAACTCTGTGCGATATCCTATTACTCTGGGCTCTTTAATGCTGCTGCAGATGTTGGGCTGGTTCTAGTGCATTTAAGATGATGCTCAGTGATGTTGGTTCATTACTGACTGGAGGTTTTAATGCTAGTGTTGTCCCAGTAAAGGCACACAGCTGTATATGAAATAGTACAGGGAAGTGACTCTTGAAAGTGAGCTGGTTTAGTTTTTATGCTGTTAAAATGGGAAATAGGTGGATTTAAGTTTTCCATAATGGTTTGTTTCATTGTTAGAGAAAAGCAAAATAACTGCACACATGCTCCCAGAAAAATGGTAATTAATATTTTATATAGTTTGTTAATGTGTGTGTGTGTGTGTGTGTGTGTGTGTGTGTGTGTGTGTGTGTGTATATATATATATATATATATACTTTATAGTGAATAGGTCTAAATATTTGCCTTAAACTATTTTAGTAACATGAAGTGTGTGTGTGTGTGTGGATATCTTGTTTTTTCTTTGTATTTTATTTTTTTTAAATCCTGCACCTTGTGGTAGATTTTGTATGTGCACATACTTATTTAAAAGGCTTTTTTCATTCACTTCTTACTCCACATTCACAAATCTGTGCGCTCTTTTCGGGGCTGGAAATGGCTTTCTTAAGAAACAGGGTAGAGTTGGATTTTTTGCACAGTGCTAACAGGAAGAGATCATATGAATATGCATACCTGAAACACAAGATCACTAGAGTTTAACACATTCTCTTTGCATACTCTGTGTACTACTGTAAGTCTACATTTGGGCATAAGTTTTTGTTTTTATTTTCCAAATGTTTTATTTTTCTCATTTTTTTTTTTTTGCTGCAAAGTATGTAAATATGAAAGGTGGTTCTGAGTCTGAACTGAACTTTATGTATGTATGTATGTTTGAACTGAATGTGTATGTCTGAGTTGCAGCAATTGTAGACAGTACCGTTGTTTTGATGTTATGACTTTACCTGTTCAAAGGCACTTCAGTTTAGTCATGTCTTGTTATGAAAATCACTGCTGCAGTATATTTATTTCAGCCTTTTTTCCTGCGCAAATGGATTTAGGAAAAAGGTATGTGCAAAACACAAGTTAACTGCTTTTGATGGATCTGAAATCACACAGCTGTATTTATTTCAATTTCAGGCTGAAATAAACATGGGCTGTCTCTCTTTTTATAACAAATATTGTTGATCCTTTTTTTTAGTGTTTTAAAGCATGCTTCAAAAATGTTTTAAAATATTTTGCTAAGCTGCACTTATAGTGCAGCATAAAGTCAGAGACCACTCTTCTATTTAATTTACAGTTGAAATGGTCTGTAAATATGAGTTCTTCATTTCTCAGCACCAGGGAAAACATTTAACAAAAAAATTACATAAAAGCATCCAAGATCAAGTATAATATCAAAACTATTAGTATTTATTTTTTGTCCATTCTTTATTTTTCTGCACCCTACTGCCACTTTATCTGTTCAATTCTTCCAGACTCAAAAACAAGTGGTTAAAACTGCATCCACCCAAAAAAGGTGTCCCTGACATTTTTACCCTTCAAATAAACACTAACATCTCCCAAAACAAGAGATCAAAAAATTAGTAGAAGATACAGAGAAAATGGGACTCATAACAACCATGCAAGACCTGGTAGACCCCCAAAACTGTGACCATCAGATAAACAGTAAAGCTTTCATTATTGAGTGAGAGGAGAATATCAAACTACTTCAGATCAGACATTTCAAATCTTCCTTACTGCCATCCTTCCACTGTGAGAAGTCAACTTAGTGTTATGGGTCTGAAAGGATGTCTAGCTGTCGAGAAACCATCACTGAGAAAAAGGAAATAGACAAAAAAAATGTAAACACTAAAAATGGACATCTGAGATGTGAAGCAGGTTTTTTTTTTGGACTGATGAGTCTAAATTTGTAATTGGGTTTGTGAGAAGCAGAAAATACAACCAACTAATAAGACTGAAATTTGAAGGTGTGGAAAAATATTGCTGCAGGTTGTTTTTAAAAACTGAAAGCAAGTCTCCCAAAAAAGCATGTAAGTTGTAAAAAAAAAGTCAAAAGGTGGACAAAAGGTTAGATTATATCTATGGCTGCAGTAGTGTATCAACACAATAAAAACATCTATTGAAATTTGTATATTGCAGTAATTTGTTTTTAATTTGGAATCATTCGTGACAAAGTATTTAAAAATCCATGGACACTGATAAGTAGGCGTTGTATGCTCACTCAGTCTTTCTGGTCACTCCTTTATTTCTTCTCTGCTTTGTAATGTTTGCAGTATCACTGTTAAAGTGCTCAGGTTCACTCCAGAAGAGTCCAAAGGCCATGTTAATGATGAGGTTTTGTTGGGGAGCCAGATAACGTTTCCTTCTGTTGGCTTTGTAAACCTCTATCATCTTTGCCTCGGCCACTGGGTCGGTCAGCACTCCCTCCCACCTCAGACTCTCCTGGGCCTGGGGGGGACACATCAGCCTGGCGGCTGTCCAGAGTGGCTGATGGATTTCTCAGTTTTCTGTGATCTCTTTCTCCTCTTTCTTCCTGAACGCTGGCCTGACTTTTGGCTTTAGTGTTCATTCTGCCTCGGCCCCTGTGAGTGATACAGTCAGTAATATCGCCCCCTGCTGTTTAAATTCAATATGTATGTTACAGGGTATACAACATAGATACCGTTTACACCTGGCCACTTCATGCGATCTATGTCTGCGAGGGAGATGATCATGGAGGACACACATGGTTGGTGACCAGATGAGAGGAAATGCTCGATAGTAACGTGGACAGACATTACTATGCAAAACAAACTGCAGACGAATAGGTAACTAGTTGCCGTGTAACGAGCGGATTTGCATATTCCGTCCCACACAGCAATTGGATTTCAGTCGAACCAGACTAACCAGAGACGCATTTGACTACCAAGTGTGAATGCATGTGGCTAAAATCTTATCAGGACACAATCCAGATACTAGTGACATGAAGTGACCAGGTGTAAACGGGATCAGTGTGTGCCAGTCAGAGCCATTGCTAAGCGGTGACCAGTGCCACCCTGAAATGAAGCATGGAATGAAAAGGAGCCATCATCAGTCACTGTTAATGAAGCATCATGCATTATGGTGAAAATCTGCCATCAGAGTAGTTACCAGTCAGCTATGAGAGTCTGATAACACTACATTTAATAATGAGCATAACTTGCTGTGATTGGCTAATTTACTCAGCAAACTGGTGAATATGAACATGAATATGCACTGGGTCCTTCAGCAGTGCTGCCGTCAGCTACATTATAAAGTAGACCATTCGATAGTAAGATGACTTATCTATCAAAAATTAGTCAGCTATAATCATTAATCATACTAACTAATCACTTTTTACAGTTGAATACATGCATGTGTTGTAGGTTAGCTCATACAGTGCTGTCTGGATAGTTTTTGATCATTAGACTCATGTATAACCTGTAATGAATGCAACCTAGAATGAATGCAAGATATGCAAGTTAATAACTTCTATGGCCTGTCTATGTGAAATGTTTTTCTTAAAGTTAACATTCATTGAAAAAGTGATACATTAATTTGCTTGATTAAAATACATAAATTCCCTATGAATGAAAATATGTTACATCAACACAGTTTTGTTTTGCAGTTTACTTTTGGCTGTAGTTGTATTGATGTAATACTCATGTCAAATTAATGAACAGATTTATGTACAGTGAAAAACAAATGCATCAATTCATATGTCATTTTAATACAGTAATGCTATGTATGTATATATATTTTCTAAGCATTGTGCCACCCCAATAAAATCTCTGGGTCTTACTTGGCCACCCCATTCTAAAAGTTCTAGATACGGTTACATTCTAAAAGTTCTAGATACAAATACAGTTTTATGAGTGTTTCCCCAAAACGGACAACGTAATCTGTCGCACAGATGGCGTCCCTATCACATCCCATGAAGACGTGCCAGTACCAAGCTTTGGGTTTTGTAGTTTAAACTGTATTTTGTATTATCTTCACAGTTCTGGCTTAGCAAACCATTTTGCTGTTAGATTGTATTTTCAGTTACTGTGCCTGTGTGGTCAAAAAGTTCCAGCTTTGAGTGATTTATTAACAATTCCTTTATGGAGAAATTAATGTCAACTCAAAATGTTTTGATCGCAACCAGCAGATGACGTAGGCCTGCACTTTCACTGCCCACTGGTACTAGTTTGAGATGGCACCATTTTATTTTCTGAGACAATACAAATGTTAAAAACCTTGTTGATAAAAAAACAACTAATAAGCTTTAAAATGAACTATTTACAAATGGAGCACTTCAAAAAATTCAAATGATCATCTAAAAGTAGGCTCAACTTAAACACTCTACTACCCCACAGAAAGAAATACACAGCTAACATCTCATCAGAACAACAGTAATTACGTGCCAGAATTGTTACAGGATTGGATTCATTATGTCTTCCCTCTGATATCCAGTCCCGCATTTTCTATCAGCCCAATGCTCATAACCATCAGTACTGATGTGCCATCTGTAGTACTGATGCTAACTTTACTAAACAGAGCAGGTGTTAGTCAGCTGTGAACACTGATTCTTAGTCACAACTGTTAAAAACTGTAACAGTGCAATTTTTATAAACCTTTCAGAATAATACAATTTCAGAGTTTGCACAATCCTAAAAACAGTGTTGGTGTACAACGGTCTCCAATATGTGTACTTTTATCTGCTGTGTATTTATGTACTACAAAACACTAGTGCCTGAACATAGCACTGGTGTGAGACTGGTCCTTAGTATCAGCCAATACCTTGAGTTCAGATACCGGAATCAGTAGAGAAATAGTTGGATTGGTGTGTCTCTGATCTTAAAGGGGAACTCCACTGATTTTTCAAAAATTCTATAAAGGGATGAGATGTAAACAGTCATTCAGAATGGTTTGATGTGAAATGCTCTGTTCTAGAGAAACTTGCAGGTCAGAATTGTTCATGGTGGTGGTGATAGAATCCAGACGTCTGAAGAGTTTAAGAGCTCCCTCACAGGCAGTTATTACACGAGATGCTTAGATGTCTGACAGGGGTACATGCAGAGTTTTGTAAGGTAAAACTGTCCTCAAAGAAAACCTTTTTCAGATTTATGACTATTTTACCATCATCAACATTACGTACAGAAACTCAGAAGACGTGATTTTGGATAGTAAATAAAATAACTATATTTCTATTGCAGAAATCTGGACCCCTCGTTCCTATCACCACCACTGAGTCTGTAAGTTTCTCTACAATTAATTGCTTCACATTAAACCACTCTGAATTACTATTTACATCTCAAGGACTGAATTATTCAGAAATTTTGAAAAACTGGTGGAATTCCCCTTTAAAGGCTGAGTTTCCCAAAAGCATCTTGTCTCAAGATAGATAGATAGATAGATAGATAGATAGATACTTTATTGATCCCGAAGGAAATTTAGCAGCCAGTAGCAGTCACACAACACAGTACAGTAATAATAATAATAAGGGTGAAACAATACAAAAGGAAGAATAAATATAAAAAAATCCTATCTACAGGCATATACACAAATAGAAATATACAAAAATCTGGAATAAGATCTATAACCTGAGATAAAAAGGCAGTGCAATAATGACTGTACAAGGAGGCACAGGTAACAGCATATAATGACAATACTGAATAATTGTATTTATTTTGCTTGTGAAAATGCAATTATCACGAGTTAAAACATGATCATAGTATTTTTTCTTCCATTAAGATAAAATGGGAAAAGATAATTCTAGTGAGATCTGAAAGTGTACATGCCAAAATGTACTTCCTACAGGCAAAGATTTATTTATTTAACATGTCATTTTTAATTTACTATTTATTTACGCATCATTAACATTTAAGTTGTTATAATTATTAATTATTAATATTAATTAATTGATATGAAGTTATCATTAATTTCTAATATCAATGAAATGTATTAAACGCTGAGTCACGTGAATTTGGGCCAATGGCGTGGGGGGGGCGTGGCCAACGTTGAGGCAAGTCCAGAGAAGACACAAAAAAACAGAGGACGAGTGTAAACATGGAGAATCGAGAGGAGTAAACAATGAGACCTCCGGCTGTATTGTTATCAGTGACTGGCTCAGCGTGTGTCCGCATGAAGAAGCTGATAAAGCATGAGTATAACAGCATGACTGAACCGCCTCTGAGGAGTTTCACAGCTCTGTGAGGCGCTGTCGGTACATTTTGGAGAAGCTGCGCTGCTGCTGAATGTTTGTTCATGGAGTCGCAGAGTGAACTGGGGGCGGATGAGTGGGACGACATCAGCGACTCTGAGCTCCTCGATATCCAGCTAGACCATTTCAGCACAGGTAGGTTAAATAAAACACCCCTAAGAAAGAGTGAACGCCAGCAGTCCGTTTAATAGGTCATTTAAAGACCTAGAGCCAGTGTGGTGCCTTAGTACGGATTCAGTCTAAGGGTTTCCTCTGTGAAATCGCTTTACGTTAGACTGACCCTGGTTTACATGATTAATGTATTGACTTTTCAGTGTGGGTAAACGGTAATACATGCATTGTTTCTGAAGATGTGAGTTGTATTTCACGATCATGGCCGAACACAAGGTGGCGCTGCTGTAATATGTGGTCTGTAATCACATGACTGCTGTCATGAGGGAGCTATCTCACTGAATGGTTTCTTCTGTTTTGGCCTGATTTGGCCTCATAAATGTTTTTGTATTGCGAGAATTCCTTCTCTCCTGTCAAATGCTTAACCAGCTTAAAGGAGGCTGCTGTGTGTTTATAAAAAAATAAATACATAAATAAATAAAAGACAGCTTAAAATATCTATAATAATACTTTAAGAATCTATAATATTAATAGTGCTTTGAAACTCTTTTGTAATATTAATATTACACATTATAATATTTTTCTCTCTGTAATAATCCTGTAGTACTGTTGTATAGTAATGTCAGAATTAACTGTAAGATCCGTTTAGGGATTCTGTAGAAATGCCTCTATTATTATTATTATTATTATTATTATTGTAGATCTGTTTCATAAGAGAAAAGAAGAAATAAAAAAGGGCCAACAGTCATTTACTAGATACTTGAATTCATCACCACAACGTGAATTAGTCATTCTCTTATAACTCTTGTATGTTTATTGTTTAGAATATGTTATTAATCAGTTGTGTTTGTGTGAATGAACCTTTCAGATGAATCACCTGAGCCATCCTGTAGCAAAACTGACACAAGTGAAAACACTGTGAATGAAAGCACCATCACAGCCTCACCATCACTTCACAGGTAAAACAATGTCATTGAGTGAAAACTCTTCAGAGTTGAAAATACAGAACTGAATCTAATGTTTACACTGTAAGCCTGAAACTAGTTTGTGATTTCTTTCTCTGGAAGATTCTCAGACGAAGCTTGCAGCTTGATTATTATCTGTATATTGAAGTATGTATTAAAAAAACATAATATGGGCTTTTAATGATCTCATACTACAAATTGAAAGTCTTCCTGTTCCTGCTGATGTTCTTGATTCTGTAATACTCATACAGGGTTGACCTGCAGATATCTGAATCTAGTGAGAGATGACAACTGAAGACTGTGCGGTGCTTGGTCAATATCTAACATGGCTCTAACCTGGTTTGCAGGGCTGAGGAGGGGTTGGAGCAAAGAACCATTGAAACAGATGAAGAGAGGGGTGTGAAGAGGAAGAGAAATGTTGAGGGTGGCTGCAGTCATTTGCTGCGCTTCATGAAGCATCACCTGAGTGTAACCCTGCTGTGTGAGCAGTCCTGGTGTGAGTTGAAGGTGGAATTTGGCTTCCGAAATCCTAAAGTCAGGAAAAACGACAAGCAGCGAACAGAAGTGCAGACTGGTGCAAATATTCACCTGGCAAGAGGTGAGGATAGATGATAATTATGCTTTATTCTGTGTTCTTTGGGTGTCAGTCACAGTCTTATGCAAATGCTTACACATTTTGTTGATTTTCTAAGTGAAAATAATTTAGCACATCCTCTACAGAGAACACACTTCTGAACGTTTTAATACACAAGTAGTTTTATCTGCTGAATTTAATATTGGACCTGTGGCCTATGCACAAATTGTTGCACATTTTATATTTTATGTGTTACTTTTTAAACTCAAATAAGTAGAAATTGTGCACTAAACTTCACAGAAAAATTCCCTGTATAGGAATTGGATGTGTCTTTTTGAAAATTAACAAAACTTGTTATTTGACCAGCGGTTCCCAAACGTTTTTATACGACTGTATATTTCTGTAATTTGTTGTCTTTGCCTTTGTTCCTATATCACATGCACTATATCTCTGTTCACACAGAGCTGGAGGTCCATGACGTCATTCCTGTCAATACCCAGACCAGAGAGGATTTTTTTGCCATAAAGCTTCTTAATATGCTACACATGGTTCCCATATTAGAGGCAGGTATGTTGATAGAGGTGACATGTAAATATTTTTTAACACAAAGTGTCATTTTGTATAAAATGAATCTGAGAATATGAATTATCTTTTTGGTATGACCATATAGTTTGTGTTTCTGTGTGTGGTTTCAGGGCAGTGTGTGCGTGAGTTTCCAGTGTTTGGCCTATTAGAAGGTGTATTTCTTATGGGCGTCATTGATGAGCTGAGTTATAACCAGAAGGGGGAGCTGGTGTTGAATGAGCTGAAAACCCGCCGACAGGACTCTCTGCCTAGAGCTGCGCAGACCCTCGGTCACTGCTTTCAGGTATGTGCAGTGCTAAAAGCTGGAGTTTCTGCAAGACTGTCAAAATATAATGATGCTGAAAATAATATTATTTCATTAAGCTTAAAACCACAGCTCAGCCAAAAATCATATTTATACTACATGTGGTTGATCAGCTAAGACATGTTTGGTGTCTGAAGTTTGCCTCTGCAGCTTTGAGGTTAATGTAGCCAACAAGAAATGAAAGCCTATATCTGCCAAGTTGGCACTACAACCTGCTTGCCTAAATTACCACACACTTGTCTCAAATTGCATCAAACTGCTAAGTAATAGACTTGTTCATGTGGTTTCTGACACTGCAGGGAAGAGCGGGGCAGACATTTTAAAATTTGGAAGTGCTTTGATACAAGAATCTTATACATCCATGCTACAAATGAAAACTTAAGGTTTACTTTGAGCACCTGTCGTTCAGCCCCAAACTGACATGAATGGAAATGTTTTAACCAAATAAGCTTTCCATCATAAATACATAAAATAATATGCAGAATATATATGATCAGTGAACAGAAACTGTGTCAAACACTGGCAAGTTTGTTTTTGACCACAAAGTGAAAATATCAGCAAATATCAGCATGATCAAACCTATAGTAGATGTTGTTGAATCTGTAATTAAAATGATTGTGCCATGGGCCATATCTTGTGGGCCTTGTGTTTGACATATGGGCTCTACAGGGAACATATTTGAATTGGGCAGTATTTGTGTGAAATTCATCAAATAAACAGTGTGCATTAAAATATACAGAAGTGTGTTCTTTGTAGAGGATGTGTTAACTTATTTTCACATAGAAAATCAACAAAACGTCATTTGACCAGGGGTGCCCAGACCTTTTCTATACGCCTGTACATTGCATAACTAAAACAGAAGCATCAGCCATCCTAAAGCCTGATCCGATGGTCCCTTTAGTCTCAGTACGTTTTCTTGAGTCTATAAGGCATTTTGTAATCCTTTTGAGAACAGAATAAGTCAGTTTGTATTTCTTACATTGCCTTACATCTTCACTTGAACCTTGCTGTTTGTATGTGTTAGGTGGGCTTGTATAAGCTTTTGTTTGATAGATTGGTCAGAAGGGAAGCGAGGAGAGAGCACCTTGTGGACCATCTCAAACTCCGAGCGTCCCTGGTACTCGGAGCTGAAGTCCAAGCGTATGCTGTGAGAATCGGCATCCAGGTCACCAGCTTCGGTGAGCTGGTGGACACTTGCCTCATGATCCTGTCCTGTTCTGAGGTGCCGTGTATCGACATCCTGCAGATTGAGTACCGTCACCAGGACTCCAGCAGCCTCATCGGCACCATGGTGGTCCCCTTTGACGAGGTCCAACTACGAGCAGAGCTCCAGGGCTACCTGGCTTACTGGACCGGCCAGAGGGAGCCCAGAGGAGTGGATATAGAGGAGGTGTGGAAGTGCAAGATGTGTCCCTATGAGGAGATTTGTGACTGGAGAAAGAACAGATCACAAGCCCCTGAGACTCTTCACACCAACAAGAGAATCAAATGAACTGACACATAGCTATTTATTATTTGGAGTGGCTGTGCTAATGTCTGCGATCAGCTATTAATAATATTTTAAAAATATTTTTAAGAGGGATATATGACATTATTAACTACCTCATTTGTTTTAAATATTTATGAATGATTCTATTTGCTTTTATTTTTCCTATTAAGCATAATTTATGTGTGAACAATGTTATAGGGCATTTTAATGTGAATATTATTCACTGATTCCATATGCACTGTTTGACCAAAATATATTTACAAGCATTTAACATTTTCTAACAGCAGGTGGAAGGGCTTAAAAGTGTTTTGTCCAATGAGAATGTGAAATAATGTGATAGAAAATGAAGCCAAGAATTTTTGGATTATTACTTATTTTCAAGGCTTTCTGAAAGACATCTATTAATGCTATTTATCAGGGCTGTCATGATTACTCAACAAAATCAATTACTCTGTAAAAAATTTGCATTTATGTTCTTGATAAATCTTCAGTGATCAGTAAAGCAGTCTAAATGATAAACAGGGTATCTGCAGGTCATTATAAAGCAGCATTTAGCAGACTCAACATTCTCCAAAGGGCACAAGTTGTTTTGTATCACTTTACTTTTTTTGTGACATGCAGGGGCGTAGCACCAAATTTTGGAGTAGTGTGCCCATGCTTTCCCATTCCCAAGAAAGTAAAGGAAAAAAAAAGATTTTTTATGGTGTGTTTCTTTTTGTGGTTGTTGGTCATCTGACAGTAAGTGTGCTTTGAATCATCAATCTTGCTGTAGTTCAGTGAGGATTACACTTACTTGGTTTCTGTTCAAAACAATCTATGTAATTTGAGGGAAATTCAAAAGAGAAAACTTTTAAAATAAATTTACATACATTTACTGTAATTTCCACTGAAACTGCTCAACAAATCGTTGTTTTGAAGTTGCTTGTTAGCTGTCTACTTTAGTGAGGTCAGCTTGTTTCATGTCTTCAGTTGCATCAGGAAAGGAAGAGGTGCTGCTCTCTCTCTCAGTGACTGCCTCTGGAACGAACAATGTTTTATTACAGGTTAGCTGCTGGGCTGAGTCTAACTAATTGGGTTGTGAATGCAGAAACACTGTCTATAGCTATTTTAATATTTTAACATTTATTTTTAAAAAGTGCTTACTTGCTGTATTGAATCAAATCCTGTGCTTTTTTGTCAGCTTGTGGTTGTTACAAATGACCACAAAAGTAGCTAATCGCTAGTTTGCTAGTGCATATTTTCAGTTTGGCACTTTAGGCTTGCCTGTTTTCTGAAAGAAATGAGTCAGTATTCGCCTGCCCACTTTTTGCCTTCTCTCTTTCTCTCTCCGCTCTTATGGTTTGTACAATCCTGATTTTAATTTCATTTTAACCAGGTCAGAACTGGTGAACAGCCACTAACTGCCATCTATAGCCAAAAGCACAGGAGATATGCGACATACGTGCGCGCCAGAGGATCAAACCACTTCTATTTTTTAAGCAGGGAAGAGAACGGACGAACAGGAAGATAAGCAGAACTTCAAAGATGATCTTGGAAAATGCAGTTTCATATTAATTATTTGTATAATAACAGAGTATCAAAACTAGAAGCCAAAATCAATTTAGGCACTTTAGACTTTTGGAGGGCCCCCTATTTAGGCAGGGCCTGATTAGTCAGGTCCATCATTACCTGCGGTCTGACGTGCCTGGTGACATGGTGCATTATCAAGCTGGAAGTAGCCATTAGAAGATGGGTGAATTGTGGCCATGAAAGGATGCATGTGGCCAGCAGCAATACTTAAGTAGGCTGTGGCATTGAGGCGATGATTGGTTGGTATTAATGGGCCCAAAGCGTGCCAAGAAAACATTCCCCACACCATTACACCACCTCCACCAGCCTGTTGACAGTGTTACAACCCCTGGTCGTAATATTCCTTTCATGGGTCTTGTTCTGCCATTTTGTGTATGTCCCCTCTAGTGGCCACACGGGGTGCCCTCACATATGAAAGAGGTCAACAAGCCACCACCTAGGAGACATTCAGGGCTCTCTTCCCTCTGATGTGACCTGGAAGAACATCTGTCCAGACCAGCCTGGCACTCTTCACACCACTCTTCGCTTTGCTCTGCTTGTAAATTTCGTAAAAGCCTTGTTAGATTCTGTGAAACTCTCTGTGAACATTTGGGATTCAGGGGACAAGTGCCATTTGTTTTCTGTCACTTTTTCTCCTGGTTTTAAAGCAGGGAGATAAGTTAGCTTTTTGTATTTTTATTTCATTTTGCTTTCAGGTTTTGTTAGTTTTTAAAACCGTAAGTTTTTTTTTTTTATTATTTTGGCATCATTCAACTTAGCATCTTGTTATAAAAATAAACATGAGCTGCTTTGCTGTTTAAAAAGTGTCCAGTGTTTTGTCTGGGAGCAGGTCTGGGTTGAGAGCCCACTCTCATTTTCTGGTGTGGCCTGACCCTAGACTGGGTTGTAACAACAGGTAAGTTGGGTCCATGGATTCATGCTGTTGGCACCAAATTTTGACTCTACTATCTCTGTGCCTCAGCAAAAATCGAGATTCATCAGACCAAGCTTCGTTTTTCCGGTCTTCAGCTGTCCAGTTTTGCTGAGTCTGTGCCCTCTGCAGCTTCAGCTTTCTTTTCTTGACTGACAGAAATGAAATCCAGCCTGGTTTTCTGCTGTTGTAGCCCATCCACCTCAAGGTTTAATGTGTTGTGTATTCTGAGATGCTTTTCTGCTCACCACAACTATACAGAGTGGTTATCTGAGTTACCATAGCCTTCCTGTCACCTCGAACCAGTCTGGCCATTCTCAGTTGGCCTCTCAACAAAGTGTTTCCGTCCGCAGAACTGCTGCTCACTGGATGTTTTTGTCTTTATTGTACCATTCAGAGTAAACTCTAGAGGCTGTTGTGCATGAAAATTCAAAGAGATCAGGAGTTAGAAATATTCAAACCAGCCCCGTCTGGGACCAACAGTCATGCCATGGTCAAAATCACTGAACTCACATTTTTTCCCCCATTCTGATGGTTGATGTGAACATTAACTGAAGCTGCTGGCCCATATCTGGAGGATTTTATGCACTGCACTGCTGCCACACTATTGGCTGATTAGATAATTGCATGAATGAGTAGGTGTACAGGTGTTCCTAATAATGTGCTCGTTGAGTGTAAATGCAGTAGATGTTTTTGTTTAATTAGGTCTAAGAGTGAACAACTTGGCTGACCGCTAACAGGCTACTCCAGTAATATTCAGAGCTATGCTTTACTGATGGATTCTGCAACATACAAAGTTAAGAATATGCCCCTTGAATACCTGTTACGAGTTTGAGAAGCTTCAGATGCTTTTAATGTCCATGTTTAGGTAGAGCTGGCCTAAGAAGTATTCAACTGTTGGAGCTGCTTTATTGTATTGTATTAATGGGACACTACTTTCTACATTATACAGTGCAAATGCTGCAGGAAATTTAGCAAAATCTTCCAAGCAGCATTAAAAATTTCTCAAAATTTCTTAAACATTGCATTGAATTGATTTAAATAGAGTTCTTTTTGAGGCGTCCTTGTTTTGGAAAGGTGCCGCCTTGCTTGTTCTTAGTCAATTAACACAGTCAGTTATAACATTTTATTGTTTGTCAATTAAAAATACAGTCAAACTAATCAATGTATTTCAAATATAGCTGAAACTGACCACCCTATTGGTTATTGCATATTGAGTATGACATAACTATTTGGAGCAAATACAGCTGAGTGTATTGGATGTTATGACAATGTTATCCATTAGGTGGGGCTGTTGTTCTGTTTTTTTTGTTTTTTGATCATAATGTAAATCAGGCAAAAGACAAATAAGATACAGTGATAAGACATAAACTCATACCATTCCTGTCTTGTAAAATGCCCATATAAGGTTTCAGTATTTTCCATGTGTTTGTAGAATCTTGTGGAGTTGCAGTGTTCTCAGAAATCATTATGTGTGACATTTACTGCTTACATTAAATTCATTTTCAACAAGAAGCGCTGCAGATTTATTGCGATGGCCTGTGTTTGGCTGTAAGGGCCGAAAGACACTGTGTGCTGATATGCGTAGAGAAAGGCAGGGTGTGTTTACTGGGCTGTGTAACTGAATCTAGAGTGAGAGCTGTATTGCTGGCTTGTGGTGAGCACTGTGTCATAGTGCTGGCCTCTGGAGCACATCCTCATTATCACTGGACCACGCAGGGGCTGAACACATCACACGCCTGGCATTTAATACCTCATAGATTCCCACAGGACAGTGATCATTCACAGTCACACAGTGTCACAAAAACAGTTCTCTCAGATCTCAAACAAAATGTGTAAACACTGGAACTGGCTGGACAACAGTGGACAGAGAAACAGAAAATAAATCATAACGGCTCTGTGTTTGAACTGCTCCATTGTTTGGTGATGGCGGCCAGACGCTCTGTTTGTTGTTTTAATTGCCTCAGAGATAGTATAACGTGATGGGAAAACTCCTTTTTTCTGTACATGCTCTTTAGACGCGTAAAACACGCGGTCAGGCTCACAGGCTGCTAACCAGTGACAAGAAGAGTGCAATGGAAAGACCTTTGGAAATCTTTACTGCATAAATATTATTGTCTTAGCTGCAGTCTAGTTCAGTCCATGTCTTCTTTACAGAATAGCAAACAAAGTAGCTTATTGTTAAAGAAGTGGTTAAAAAAATCAAATGCACTCAATCGGCTTAGACATGTTTGGGGACTAAAGTTTACTTCTTAAATTTGCACTGATAGTTATTGTAGCCAATAAGTAATAAAAGCTTATGGCTAGCATAGTTAGCATTTAGTTAGCACTCTGCAAACTGTATCCCAAACTGCATTGAATTGTTAAGTAATATACTTAATACAGTGGTTTCTGATGGTGTGGGGGAAAATGGGGCAGAACCTAACCAATTATTTTTGTTTTTAAATGTTTTAAATTGTATAATAGTTTAAATATTTCAGCAAGAGTAGTACATTTTTACAAGCATCATACACATCTGTGTATTGATGAAAACATCAACTTTATTTTGAGCACTTACCATTTGTGAACAATTTGGCCCAAACTGGCATGAATGGAAGTGTTACAAACAGTTATAAACACTGTGCAAACTGCGTGCTTAAATTATCACACACTTCCTTGAAACCACGAGTTCTCAAGTAACCTCAAATAGACTCGCTAATGTGGTTTCTGACACCAGATGACTTGCTGTTATTTATAATAATGGAAAAAGTACAGGCAAAATTCCACTTTCAAGATGACCGTCACTACTACTTATATGACATACTACTGTCCATTTTTATAGATTACGGAAACATCAGACAGATCTCGGCTGTGAGTGGCTACATTGAAGTAAGGGGAAAATTTAGTAAATTTGACCTTTTCACAACTGTTCCTTTAAATACATAAAGTTCAAGTTCCTTTTATGTTTTTGCTGACATACGTGGTCGCAATTATTTAGAGTACAGAGAATTGTTTATGAAGCAGAGTAGTTTAAATTCAGTCTGTAAGACTCATTTTTAAGAAACAAATAAAAAAAAACAGTACAAAAAGTTTCTTTCCATGAAGAAGAAGTTTAAGAGCAACAGCTGAGACTTTTTACAAACAACTCTAAATCAATGGTGGACAAATTACTACATTTCTCATAAAAGTGTACTTAAGTATCAAAAGTAGAAGTAACAGTGGGTTATTGCTGTTGTCAATGTAAAAATATTTTGAGGAACTGTTTGTTTTGAGGAGGTCTGTGTGCCTGATTTAGCTGCTTGTGTCTGCAGCTGCATTGGTCTCCTTAATAGAGGGTTCATCAAAATAATATATATGCAATAAATCACAAAAACGTAAGCACTTGTTTACTTTTAACATAGCCCATTTCTGTAGGCCCCCTAATGTCCATACCA